AATGTCCAGGAGCTTGCTTCTACAAGTTTATTAGGAAAGGGAATATATTACAAAAGAATCCCTTGAGATTTAAGGCTAACTACATATCAAACCAGACTTCAGTGAAAATTACAAAAACTCCCCTTGATTTGTTGCCCATTTAGACTTCATAAATCCACATTTACATTTTTATATTTTTTTCGTAGAAACAATCTCAAGGTATCCGTTTGTAATTTTCGAAAAACTTGGAATTTTACATAAAATACTTCAAATCTAAAGGGCTTTTCGATGGTATCCTTATACTTCATAGTAGTGCCATAAAAAGTGTTTTCTGGCCTCAAACGAATCTTCTTAATGGGATGACAATGACATGAACTCCATCAACCAACGTCTCAGTGTTTTGACAGTTTCTTCCAAGAATAAGGACTAGTGTTCAACAGATGAGCCCGAAAACGCGCTTCGAGACTATGTTTGGTAAAGCTAGCTATAAGCTAGTTGATAAGCTAATAAGTTAGTTTCTCAGCTATCAGTAATTTTCGAGCATAGTTTATGACTTGTAGATGAAAAGTTAACTTATATGATAAAAGTGATTAAATTTCAACGACTTTACTTAAAAAACTATTTAAAGAAGCTTATAAACTAACCAAACCAAACCAAACATAGCTCTATTATCATATTATCATTCATAAACTACACTTATTAATAACTCCAGAAACAAAAAATGATTATAAAAAACGAGACAAAGTAAAAACAAACAAACATCACATTGCACGCTCAAATGCCCAAAAACAAAAGGTCTACAAAGATCTATTAAACACTAATAAAATAGCAAAATAGAGCAAAATCTTACTCCCGATTTGCAATGACGCCACCTGTAAGCGTCGTGCCATTGTTACCTCCCCAGCCAACAAGCATAACCCTTCCAAATATCAAACAAAAATTGTAAAAAATAAAAAATGAATCGAACCAAAAGGAAAAAATGAAAAAAAACTGTTTAATGATCGTGGTACTTATTCTTGATTTATGCTGTATTTAAAGACGAAGAATGAAATACCCTAATTTGGGGACACTGGAATCGGTTTTGAACTCGTATTTCACAGTCTTGGGCTTCACAATCCACTGGTAAGCGCCATTTCTGTTCTCGTGAACAAGCTCTGTCGTCTCGTAGCTGTATACAGATCGAATTTCACCATCGGTGTACTTGACATTCGGGCTCTCGACCTTAAAGCTCTCGATAAACATCTTTTTGATTGTTTTTTTCGATGTAATATATGAAAAGGGTAAGAGATTCAAAATGAGCACCGCGAGTTTGGGGGAACAGAGAAGAAAATGTGTTCTCTCTTGAGCTTCCTATTGAGCTTCCTACTCGAGTACTCGGTGAGTGTAGTGTGCGACTAGGTATTCGCAGGAAGCCATGAATAATATATAGCGAAGATGGTGGTACACGTGGCGCAGTCGACTCGGCCCACAAACGAATTTCAATTATTT